GATCCATGAACCTTTTAATGCACATTTTTCAAATGCACACTTTCTTCCAAATGTTGTTCTGTGTATTGCATGAAAGTTTGAAAATACACGGGCAGCTGCAGAATGTTCAGTACCGGGAGGTGTGAAATGGGTATTATCTGGTAAAAAAATGGACTGAAATAAATTTTTCATACATCTTTACATCTTTCTACAACAATCATTTCTCTAGCATCGGCCCGAGTTGTCATCTTAGTCTATTATTTACTGGTCTAACCAAAGGAGAAATAGCTTCTTTGAATATTATTAGCTGACCAGCAGATAATAAGTCTGCTACCTGGGCTATTCTGGAATGGTGCTTGAGCAGTACAACAAAGTGTGGGATTCCTGGTGGAGGTTGCCACCCTGGTGTTAAAAAAAGTAAATGATTTAAAAATATTTTAATGAAGTTGCTCTACCTACAAGTAAGGCATGGAGGCATGCAAATTATGTAGAAAGCTATGTTGTAAAACTAGTCTTACTGACTAGTGATTTGAATCAATTTGGTTTAAATCAAATCCACCCTGGTTGCCACAAACTATTTCATTCCATTCAACTGAAGCAATGGTGAAACAATTAATTTAGCACTTTTAAATTTGTTGCCGTCGCCACTGCTGCATTCTGTTGTCTTATGCAGGCGTTTCATTTGTAGGTTTCCTTAGCTGGCCAGGAGAGGAACATGATATCCTTGCTTGCTCCACCCCCTCCATTTCCATTTCGCTCAACACATGGAGGGCAGCTTTCTGGAAAAGAGACACCCCTTTCTCCATGGAGGCTCTCCGCACAGCTTTGAACACAGATTTTCTACCATTCCATATTCAGTGGAGTCACGATGCAAGAAGCTCCTTTCATCAGCAATTCATTCTCTGTGTGCAGAGGGAATGGAAATAAACAAGGGGAAGGACTAGTGCTCCTTGTGTGTCTAGCAAGCCTACAAATAGAATATTTGTACAGTGAGGGATGCTTGGTCACGGTCACTTCAACCAAGATCCCATGTGATACTTGCATTTCTGAAATTACACACAAGGTCGTTGAACATTTTAAACAGATTGACATACTATTTGGCAAGCTATCCTCTGATGTATATACTCAATTTGGATTCCTGCACAAACTGGCAATATCATGCAGTCCTTTTATAGCATGTTCGTTCATTTTTTAAATAAGTAGAAACAGTGGTAAGTTGTTCGAAGAAAAATGTCAGGGAATGGATTTACATAGTATGATCTCACATTGTGATGAGTATGTCTTGCACATCTTGCTTGCTTAATATGCAGTCAAGCAGAAAAGAATAACATCTTTAGTATTTTGCCAGGGGATAGAGCATTCATTTATTTTCAAGTCTCTTGATCCCCGAGTATTTAATCTTTCCAATGTCAAACGTGTGTGTTCTTTATTTTTCCAAAGTACAACTCGGGCCACTAGTAGTCAGCCTTCTAAGAAAGAGGATGTTTGTTTGCTTATTTATTTATTGATCTTACTGACTTCTTCAATAGTCTCATCGGACTCTCTATGCAGTTAACAATTAGCCTTGCCATTGTGTTGTTCTCCATTTCTGGTAATTAATTATATGGCTAAACTGCATTTAGGTTTAGACAGCAACAAAGCTGGAGTCTTCAATTAGTTTGCATGTTTGTTTATTAACTGTATGACAAGTTGCATGATGGTTGCAAAATAACAATCTAACCCTAACCGCTGCTTTCCAGTTGTGGGAAGTAAAGGCTGATTGGTGAATCACTAGCAGCCACTACAGGTAGCTTTGCAGTAAAAGGCAGAATGGTTGAGGGGACAGTGTTGGAATTCTAAGGCCCAGACTACACAAAAAGTAGATTATATGGTAAAACTGTTTTCGTACTGTATCATTCAGGGTGTAGACAGTGATTCAATGGCTAAATGCTCATTCAAATATAATTTCCTGGAACATAGAACAAAGGGGGAAAGGTTTTAGCTGAGCCTTGTTCCTGTCATTCTGGGATTTCTGATGGAGCAGCATTAGAGGGAAGAATTGGCAAGTAAATGATTGAAAATTTCATTGACAGGACTCAGTGGAAATAATTCTTTCAAGTTAGCCGTTCAATAGTTTTGCATCCAGTTTTTAGGACAAGATGCACCTAATTTTGGAAAAGATCTCCATTTCTTTTGGTAATCACTCGATAAAGTATATTGAGTTGTCTGCACATTGTACGCTAAGGGAACTAAATATCAAGGAGTGGCATACTTCATGTGCAAAGGTTGCTTCCGCTGTCATGATTTTATTACCCAGGAATGGTTCCAAAAAGCATTCAGGCTTTTAATACAAATGATGACCAGCACTGATGCATATTAGTCCTTCCATGAGCAGAAATGGACACTGCTGCTTAGTTGTCCCTGAATTCCAGCACTGTGCCAAGACATTTTTCTTCCTGGAGTGAAGGGCAAGATGGTGTTCCCCCTTCTACACGCAGAAACCAATGGGCCTGCCAGCTGAATCTTCTTGCAGTATTGCAAGGGACTGAGGGCAGCAGAGTAGCTTAGGAGGTGGAAAATAAGGTAGCAGAGAAGGTGGAGGGCCGGTCAGTCCTCCCTCACTTTGCAAGGCTTTCCACCTCTGTTGCTCCTGCTGCTCAGGTGAGTGCTTCACTCGTCCTAATAATAGGATGGGCATGCTGAGTCCTTTGCTATATCCACATCTTGCTCAGTAGAAATTATTTGATTCCTCATGCTGTGAATATAGCCTTCAGAAGCATGGTGCAGACAATCCCGGCTTCTGTTGGGTTGCAATGAGCTGTAAACTTCAGAGGAAGTTTGCTCTGTGAGTCTTAGCATTATTGCTTACTCAGATCTGAAAAGGTACATAGAACAACAGTAAAGTTCAAAGTTAAAACCTGAGCCTTATACCAGTCTGGAAAAGGAAGCAGTGCCCATGATTTGGGGGAGTTAGTTCAAAGGCTGAGGACAATAAATGTAAGGGGAAGAGGAGTGGCAGGAATGACATAATGATCAAAGCTGCAAGGGCGAGAAAAAAACAACTGGATCTTTTCTGCTAGAGCACTGAGCAGTTTGGAATGTGGATTGCCTGAAATGGGTGTTGTTTGTGGTTCACCGCATCTGGTCAGGATGCCACCCCACAGCTAGCTGTGACAATTGCGCCTTCAGTAAAGCAAATTCAATATTATGTGCTTTCAGGTCCTGCCAGCTTCTTATCAGGCAGCAGTATTGTATTACGGAATGAATAAATTTCCAAAGCTTAGCCATGCATTTGGAGAGAGTTCTGTTTTCTGTGTTGCATATGTCATCATACCTCTGCAAAATTAAATTTGTTTCTTTGGGTCTTTCACTAATTCACAGTTTGAGTACATGGACATTGTGACATTAGCACCTGTGAAGTCTTGAGTAGCTTGACCATTCACTGGTTATGTGACAAGAATGAACCAAAGAACAATGAAAGAATTTTCAAAGCATTCATTTTGGGGAGAATTTGCAGAGGTGGGCTGTTCAGCAAAAGTTATTATGAAAAGAGGAGGAAAAGCCCTCCACTGAAGCTTACCCCTCATCCTCATCATCTCCGTACTGCCTGTAGCTGAAGCTTTCTGGCTGGTTTACTCTGTGTCCAAGCCTAAGTTCTCTGTCAGGGACTTAATGACCATCATGTCAAGAGAAGATGGCCCCTGCTGTCAAACTCCATTGCAAATAAAAAGTGATGGATTACATGGACCCCCAAGTCTGATCCTCCAAGGAAGTTCCAGTACTTACTTGCAAATTCATACTTTTCACAATAATGACAAGAGCTGCTCTGATTATACCATGTGCAAAATGTTGATCTTGCTTCCATTTGAGATACGTTTGATAAGAGATGGAAATACTTTTAGTGCTCTTTGTATTTTTCCTCTGAAGAATGAAAGCACTGGTGCACTTCTCCACTGAGAGGATGTATTCAATCAGGATTGACAGTGCACACTTTACAAGCTTGCTGCTGCTGTGCTCCTATTCCTGTAATTGCAATGGAAATGTTAATGGCTAGGTCCAAAGCAGGCTTTCCTCATTTGCTCAAGAGCTGGAGCTGCACTTTCCTGGCTGTGCTCTAATTTCTAATCCATTGCAGTGCCCTAGGAATCTGGAAATCATTAAAACCCAAAGTACACATGCCCAGCAGTACGATTAAGGTGAAGGGCCAAGCTGCTTTTCAGCAAAGGAATAATCATGGGCAGACTGAACTAAAGATAAGTTTCCAAAACGCATTTTCCCAACGGAGTCATGTTAAGTTTGTCTCCCACTGGAGCAGGTTTTTTTTCCATTTTTTGGGAGGTAGGGCAGGGTAGAACTCAACACACTGCAGTTGTGCAACCGATTTCATAAGTACCGTGTATGACAGCATGATTTGTTTCCAGAAGGACATCATTGGATAATGTCAGCAGGTGGTCACAAGTTGCCTCCTCCCCTTGCATATAGCTTAGGAGAGATCCTACATCTCTTGTAAATTGTCTCCTGCTTGGCTTTTCCTTATATCTATAAGTACCACATTATAGGGTCTTGCTCACAATTAAATTTTTACCATATACTGTGGTTATATATCTTTGTTTCAAAAAAGTGTTACAGGAACTGCAGCTTATGCATTTTTGCACCATAGAATAGTCACCTTGCCTATATTATTTTATCAGAGCTTTTAACTTTATTATGTATTATTATTTAATTCTGTAGGTTGAACAATATATAGCATTCTGCTTTGAAGGCTTGCTTTGTAGCAGGGTCAGCTCAGAGTAGCCATTCCAGATTAAAATAAAGCACATCTCAGGCTGTGTCCCCATCCTAATTTAGTGTTGTGGGAAAAGCGCCATAAAGCGCAAATAGTTCTTGAATTCAAAGATTGCCCTTGAAAGGTACTACTGATGATGGATTGTCAGAGATTTTGTGACATTTTGTTCCCATCAGATGTTGTCTCCTGTTCTATTCTGAATACCTGGAATGTAACACTATACCTTCTCTTTCTTTTTCTTTCATTTCTTGTATAGCTCTTAAAGAACTGGAGGACATTATAGTCATCCTCAGGGAATGATATATATGTACATACACACAGAGGTCTGAACCTGTGTGAACCTTGAGAGTGAATTCTTATTGGCTGTAACCTGAGGAACTTATTTTCACTCCAATGTTGCTCTGAAAAAAGATCTGCATCTAAAACTCTGAACAATCAGACTTGCCAAGGTATGTATCTGTGGTTTTGTTATCTTTTGCATGTCTGTCTGTTTTAATATAAAAGCTCAAGTGTTTACTGTTGAGCTATAAAATGATGTTGCATAATTGCACAAACTATTGTTTGAATGACCTGTGGCTGTGCTAAATTCTCTGCTGATCTGATTGGTGTTGCAGTAAATTAGCTGATCTCACCACAAGCAGGCATCTGCCTGGCTTTTTTGAATATTTATAAGAGAGAAGGTCAGAGTAGTACAGTCTCAAGTTGTTATCTTGATCTTCCTGACCTTGAATGAAATATCCTGTAGTGTTCCATTACCGCTCTGATTTTAAGTATGAGAGACTTGACTGGTTTTGTGTGGCGTATCAGGTATGACATGGAGCTATACCTTTTGACTTGGCTGGGCAGAAAGAGATAAGAAAAAAAGCACATTGTGTTTAATCGCTTTTTGGGAACAGGAAATTGCACAGCATAAGCAAGCAGCTTATTCTAACAGATACAGAAGAACTTGTGTACCATATGACAATTTCCTATCTTTGCTTTGGGCCAGGTTGTTATTCATTACCTGGAACTAGCTGAGTTATGTTGAGTGATAAAGCGATTATTTACAAGACACATAGGTGACATTCCCCAGAATGCCTGACAAAAAGATTCTTACATGGCATATTGAGCTGCAGTGCTCCAGCTTATTGTCAAGAGCTGTAGCAGCCCCAAAAGTAATTAAGAACCTCACATACCTTGAAGGTCTCCAAAATAAGAGGTATTAATGAGAAATGCATTAAGTCTTCTACCTGGAGTAGCTTCTCTAACTAGATAGGATCCAGATATGGAAATGTTCACATTCAGTAACCCAACTGCTGTGTGGTGTCCACAGAATTAATACTGGGAGTGCGGAAAGGTCTGTGGCTTTGCAACTACAGCTGGTTGACTTGGCTGTTCACAGTCTTTATTCAATCGAATCCCACACACCATGAGACAGCGCTTAAGAGACATAATGAAAAACAACAGTGATATGTGATTTACTGTATCATACAGAGATTATATATTGCAGAACTAACTTCTAACAAATAGCTTTTCTGTCCATTTAACAACAGCAGAATAACCTCTAGAAATGCAGGCAACCCCAATTTGTCCATTGAGCAACAGTACTACAGGACTCTAAACCAAATTAAAAACACCTTAGACTGAATTTTGCACCTTTTGCACAGGATTTTCATTGGCTGTGGTGAATACTGGACATAGGATCTAAAATGAGACAGACTTGTTGCTAACACTTACCTCTCCATAACATAAAAATAAAATGATCTACTTTGAGGCTGTTAGGCAGAATAATTTATTTTAGACCTTTCTTCTTGGGATGGGTCTTCAGCCTTCACCTGTGGACTCAACAGATGCGTGCCAGACATTTGTCCTTCATTCATTGTGGAACATAGTGAACTGTTCACCTTGCACAATTTGCTAAAGGAGTCTTCACTTGTACAAACTGCACTTAGGGTGGATCTGTTGTAAGGATGGGCATTTTAGTGGTAGGAACAGATCGATGTCTAGCCATTCAGTAAGGGCTAAGTAGCTGATGTCATACAATGATGGGTGCTTTTCTTTGGTATGTTTTTTTGTCCACAGTTCATACCAAGTAACATATTCATCATCCAAATTCTATACTATTTCTGAATTGAATTGACATTTGAAAGTCTTTTCTTACATGCCTTATAGCTGAGAAGAATTTAGTCTCAGCAAACTGTAAGTAGGTTTCTTTTCATCACTCAAACAAGTAATAGGTCTATCTAGGTATAGCATTTGGATAGACTGTTCTGTTGTAGATTGCTTCTGTTGATTGGTAGCATTGATTGGCACAGTATTTCTATTTCATGGCTTCTCTAGGCACTTTAAGCTCTATTTATACTTTGTTCTAACGTTTCTTGCATGTCTCAATTATATGTGCAAAAAGGTCTTATCGCTAGCTTCCTTGCATTGTTCTATTCTTCCTAGCAACACTTGAATAAGTGTTTTCATTTCCATTACATCTAACTTCACAGATTTCAGAACCTGTGACTCACCCTAGCATCAGAAATATTTGCTGATGATTTGTTGTGTTACAGAAATGGTCTTGGGTCTGCTTAATTCTGCTAACTGGAAGATAATACATGTAGAAAACAAAATACTCTTGCATATTTGTGTCAACCATGTTTACATATTACACAACAATAAAGCGTGCTGACCTGAAATGTGCCAGCTGCATTTACACTATTTCATATAATTAACAATGAGATTAAGTTTGTGGAATAAGCTGTAAAGATTGACCAAAGTCAGATGGCTTGTTGAGCCCCACTCTTTTTCCTCCAAGTGTGAAAAACAACAACCCTTCCTTCCAAGTGTGCACTGTTGTCCAACAAACTTATTGAGATCTGATTCCAAATCAGAACAAACAGATAAGATTGTGTTGGCTATGCCTGCTGCAGTTTGGTCTGAGATTGAAATGAACCAAAGAAATTCCTCACGTACAAGTGCATTCTCATTGCTTTCATTGACAAATGTTAGGGCAGTTTTATGGCAGAAGCATCTACTTTTCATCTGATAAAACTGAGCATCTCATGGAAGCATGTTTTCATAACAGTTTCTTCCCATAGAATTTGCCTGTGCAAGTTTAATAACTCATTCTAAGTTCTTGCAGATGTGTACTTTTATCAGCTACCCCAGTTTCCTTGACTTAAAAATATTCTCCTCTGCCTCAACATTAAACTGTAGAAGGTCTATCATATTACCTCTGGTTCTAGTCTTACCATTATGCCCCGCAATGCACAGTGGTTGATATGACAGAGTACAGCTTTTGTATATTTTACTCTGCAGCTCTTCTGTTTGGCTTTTTAGTTTGCTGTTCAGTTGATATTTTTTCCAGCCCATGACAGAAGGAAAGTTAGAAGCCTCTTTTGAGTGCTTTCTTGCAGCTTCACTGAAGTTTATGTACCCAGTACAAACTTTGTTCTATATCCCTTGGATTCCTAGATGGGGAAATAAAATGAAATTAAATGTAATACAAATCCCTTTAAACAGAAGAATATGCTAACCCAGAAAAATACTTTGAAAGCTTTCATGGTGAAATGATCTTGGACTTATATTCTTCTTGAGGGCATGATTTTCTGTAGCAGCTCAAATTTTAACACATCTGATAGAGGATTTGTTTTCTATAGGCATTTCCTGATATCCAGCTTCCCCCATCTAAATTGTATAATACTATTAGCTGCCTTGGTATCTTCATTTAGGAGGTTCTCATGCCCTGCCTGAATCTGGATATTTTCTTTCTTGTTTGAGGCAGACATATTAGGCGATGCTTGCACTGTGTCTGAAGAAGTAGTATCTGCAGCACATGTCTCACTAGCTGTCTTCTGTTTTTGAATTGGTGGCAGATAGCCATTCCTAAACAAATCTAAAAAGTTCTGCTTCTTTGCTTTCCCACTTTCACAGCCTTATACAGAAAACCCTTGGGTTTGTGCAACCTTCAAACAATCAAAGCAGTAGCATTGAGTTTCTGTTTCCCAAGTGAAAGACTTTTGCTACACCTTTCCTGAGAAACTTATTAGCACTTCTGGTTTCTGTTGCTGGCCAGCATCTATACCTGTCCCTCAGAGCAGGGGCTGCGCCAGCTGCATTCCCAAGCTTTCCTTCTCATATGGAGGAGAACTATCCCTCCTCTGCTCGTTATTTTTAGGGTTTCCAAATCTTGTAATATTTGCATAAGCAGTGTCATTAGATCAGAACAAGTGGCTTAACTATCTGCTGACCCAGGAAGGCTCTCTCTCCCTTCCTGCAAAGTGCACTGAGTATGAATCTTCAACTACTCGGTTGAACTGGTCTAAGGGATCACTCTAAATCTGTTGATAACTAGCTGGATGTTCATGTGTCCCCATGCACTGAAGCAGATAAATACATTTTCAGTGCTGTGGGGGAGAGTGAATGCCCTCCCTGGCCATCGCGCAACGCAGAGCATTTCTTACTGTTATTTAACAGGAGTACCTTTGCCCCCAAGTTCTCACTTCCACGGATCTGTAAGCAGCTGTAATTTCTGTGTAAGATCCCGAAGGCAGCCCTCATATCAGGACCTCATGGCCCAATCTCCAAAGTATCTCCAGAAAGAACACATCAGCATTTTGTTATAAACAAGCAATCATAGATCTGCAATGCTAAAGTTGACTAATGGGTAGGTTGATATTGAGAATTAAGGAATGGGCTTTGTTTGGGATTGATCAGTTGACTGAAAAAGGGAATGACTGTATTAGTACTCTAACTTCTCTCTTGAGAAATAAACTACATTGTTCAAATTTTTCCAATGCAAATTACAGGTATCAGTTGTGCTAATCAGAGCATGATGCTTGAAGTAGGGATGTGTGAGAAATCTAGTTGTGGGATAGCAATCCAATTGATTTTCTTGATTCCGTTCTGTCAATCCTGCAGTGGGACCAATTCAACCTGATGTGAGCTGAGTCATCACACAGACTTCCATTTTAAGGCAGACTACAATTTAAAGTTAGGAAAATGTCTGAAACAATTGGACCCCCTCCTTATTTATTTATTTATTTATTTATTTTGCAAATTTGTGCCGATTGTGGAGCAAAGGTCTTAATTTGGGTTAAATCTGAAATTGGCTGTCAGGGAATTCAAGGTGCCCTAGCTGGAATGTGTGCAACTGTGGTGGAAGAAGGATACTTCTGTATTTCTCATGTTAAATGCTATGTCAAGTCAGCTTCCGTTTGCACAAATGGCACTAGAGATAGGCAGTTCTTGGCTCCACACTCGCCCAAATAGTTTTGTGCAATTGCACAGAAGCCAATGCTTCTGCCCACACTCAGCTAGCTTTTCCATGTAGAACTAGAGATGTGTTGAAAGTACATCAAGCTCAAACGGAATGAATTTCCCGGCACGGCACATCCCTGTTTGGAAGTACCCTAGCTACTAAAGGGTCATGTTCAGAGGACTGCTTGATTTGAATTTTAGGTTCAGCTTTCTCCTCTTTAAG